ACAAGGAAACCGAAACAAATGAAAGCAAGCTGTTGGGTCAAGGACTTCCCGATGCACTGTCCCCTCCAGAGGAACTCCAGACATTTTGGTGCAGAGCTGGAAATACAGAGAGCTGACAGGACTGCCAGGAAACAGGGCTGCAGCACTGGGAACCTGGGCATGGAGGGGAAGGGACTGTGGGACACACGAGTGGGGAGCCTGGACGCAGCAGGAGAGGTTAGAGGAACAGGAGGTAGAGGAGAGGAAGACTTCCATCTTCCTGCAGAGTGATGGACCTGAGAAAGAAGGGGGTGCATGAGGAGAAAGAGACATCTCTCAACACAGCCATAGGAAGAGGGTGTATCTGGTAAGAAGTGACCAAGACCCTCTCCTTGCGAAAGAAGATCTGACAGCAATCTGAGCCCTGCTTCCCTTATTCCAACTTGCCAAGATTGAAGAATGGTGGGAAGATCACTGAGTGAGCTTAACAGATGGGCTTGTACTTCCCATATTGCTTCAGGTTGCATTAATCTCTGTGGTGGGTTCTCATCTAGCTGAGAAAATGTCACCAAAACAAATGAACCGGAGCAGGCTGCTACGCGATCAGCAGATGCAGAGAATCTCTTCTGCATGTCGTAGATAGAGGGAAGCAATCAGAATTCTCACTTGTCTGCTCCCTGACACCCCTTCAAAACTAATCCAAGATACCACTGGCTGAGTTGGGAGTAGAAATGCCTCGCATCAGACACTGCAAACAGAGAAGTTGGTAGAAACAGGGAACATGGATGATGGCACGGAAGGGAGGTGACACAGCTGTGAAGTCCAAGCAGGGAAACAGGGGAAGAGCAGAGGTCAAAGTACTAAAGAGACATAGCTGGGTATTGGAAGAACTGCATCAGAGATGGACACGATTCAGTTCTGTCCATGAAGCCATCAAAGCCCTGCCTGCATATGCATTTCCATTTCAAGAACATGCCAGTACTTGTACTTTTCTTGCATCCTCTTCTGGTTCCTGAACCAACATAGTCCTTTCAGTGCATGAGGTCCAGGAAAGAAAAGAGATGTTTTGCTGGGCTTGCTGAAAGCACCCATGAGGAAATAAACAAAAAGAAAGGACAGAGAAGCAGCAGAGGAACCAATTTGGTTCATTCAGCAGTTACTCCAGTAAGAGGCAGTGTAGTGCAGTATGAGATTATGCCATATAACAGAGGACACTAAATATCTGAGTCTAAAGTATTAAAGCAGACTTAGGATTGTCAAAAGTTCCTTAACAATTCCACAAAAAAAGAGTGAATAAATTTAAGGTGAAAGGAAGTCTAGAAAAACTTCAGATCACATAAACATAATTTCATAAAATGTGAGAATACAAACCAAACACAATATTCATTTTGCTTTAATTAGTCTGTCCTTGAATGCTGTCCTAACACACCAACATCTGCTAGGATTGTCTCTACAGCTGCTAAAAAAACAGGCGACAGAGCAGACAAACATTGAACACCAAAACTGAACAGGTTTCATCCTGCAGTTGGCTGCACTCTGTGGGCTGGATTTAAACCAGGTGCCCCAAGTACCACCCAGCCTCCTGCTGCACTGCCAGCCAAAACATACCCTTCTTTACCCTTCACTGCACTCTGGGACCACCACCCCTTGTGTCAGCAGATGGGCTACAGGTGAGCTGACCTTGACACCACTTACCAGCTGGGTGCTGAACAGAGACACCAGATCTCTGGGGGTTCACACCCCTGCTCTCATCACCTCTCACTGATGGTTCCCCAGCTCCTCCCTCCACCACTGCACCAGTGACAGCACACACAGCCACAGCTCCTGGATCACCACACACTGAGGAGGCAGGGAGCAGCACATTGGGATTCACCACACTACCCTCAGACTGGCTAGATACCATTTGACAATGCATTTTGCTTTAATGCATAAATTTGATGCAATGTAATTTCCATTTATATGTGCACTCTGTTGGCCAGAACAGCTTTCCTGTTTTCATCAAGCAGACAAAAGGCTTGAACTCTATAAAAGGTGGCTGATATTTAAGTTTTAATAAAAATATATTTCACGTATGCCATTCTTCCCTTAGACTGACCTAGCCTACGATATATTATTTACATAACTGCTGCAATATCTATTTCAAAACTGACTAGACAGCCCTCTCCAGAAGTGTAAGCTGCCCTGCCTGTCACCATGATGGGTAAACAGTGTCACCTTTTCACAGCCCGATGAAATATAGAGAAGCAGTAAAGTGCACCATCCATCACAATGGCACTAAGTAGGTTTTTGAAGTAGATTTCAGATCACAAATGCTCACATTTTTACTCACAAATGCTGTTTAGACTGTTACCAGAAAGCACAAATTGGATGGCTCATATACAATGGCTGTATGATGAATGGACATGACAGGTGGTCAAAGAAAATGAGTCTTGCTGTTCTACAAATAACCTTGTCAACATGAAGGTAGAGCTGTAGCTGTGCTGGTAGCCAGACTGCAATATCTTAATGGTTTTATTTGCTTGAACTTCTAGCAAACCAAATAGGCAAAATGAGATACAATGAAGCAGCAGCACTGAAGAAGAATTAGCAATTCAACCTGATTAGGTGACACACAATAGGAATTTTCTGCTAAGGATGTGTCACATTTGAAAGAAAATTATTCAGATTATGAGTAGCTGTTACAAAAATACCTTTTCACAGGAAAACCCTCATGATTTCACAGTCACAACCCACTGCAGGGCATTCAAAATATGTGACTTGTATTTCCACTGCAAGCAGTTGATGGCTGAACCCATCAACAGCCACCACCTCCTACTTCTCATTTAAAGTTTTTCTACTGCCATTAGTTTAAATAGTAGAGATTAGTGTGTAGGATTGAAAGTCAGGATGTTTAGATCACTACCAACTCATCTGTACCCTAAACAAACATGGAAATTTCCCTTTTAGGCAAAACTCGAGAACTCAGGACGTTTTGGATAGGCTTTTTGAAGAATAAAAAAAACAATCTCGAGTTTTCTAAGGGCGCTAAGGTGTCTCAAAGAACTGACTGCAGAACTGTGCACAGAGAGTCATTCTTTGGCTCAAGAACAAGTCTGGAGTTTCGCCAAAGCCAAGGTCCAACCCTTGTGATTAGCACAGTGTGTGTGGTCCTCATTTCTGCTGAACTCAGAGAGAAAACTGCCCTGCAACATAATGGAAGGTGGTGCATGTGCTGCTGGGAATAAAATCAGGGATTTTTCCTGGAACACTAGATTTCCTTTAATCTGATGAATTGGTTAGCAACACATAGATTTTTATGAAATAAAACCTTAAAGGTCACAACTGTACTTTTATCTCATTATAGTTACTCTTATTAAGTTACAATGAGAAAATAATATTGAATATAGAGTTTTTAAGTGATATGAGAAGGAAAACCCATTCATTAGTCCTTTTTATTTTCCCATGGAGAAGTTAAAGCATACATCATGCAGGTTAGGATCTCCTCTTGCTTACTTAATTTCTCTTCTTAACAGCAACCTTTGAAGTGGACAGAGCCCCACAACAGGGGCTCACAAGACTCAGTATGGAAAGCAGGCATGTTCAGTACACAAAAACAGGAGATGGAGAGAAGATTTTCCCCCAGAGAAGAACAAGAAAACAAGAACTCCATTCCTGCTCCTCTCTAGGACTAAAAAGCTTCAATCCTTTAAAGAAAAAGAAGCTAAAGCTTGCTGACCTCAGGATGGGAAACTTAAGGATCTGACTTTCTACCAGTCCTCATATTTCCTACAGTCCAAAATTCAAAATTAGATTAATAGTCTATAAAATGGCTTAGTTAGCATCGTGCAGCTTTCCCCTTTTTGAGAAGAGTTCCACAGCATTTCACATGTTCTCAATAAACTCTATGGGCAGACATTCTCACAAGCAAGAGGAAAATACATGACAATTGCATTTTTTATGTTAGAAATGGAGTAATTGATAATTTTAAATTCTAAGATATTCACAAAGTATTAAGTTATTTTGGAATAGGTTCCTCCAAACCCAAAGCAATTCAAAATCTGTTCCTATATGATCTAATAGTGTTCTAAGTCATGAAAACAAACATGCATCTTAAAATCAAAAAGCAGGAAAGATGGAAACCCCCTACATCACTGAAATAAGATACAATATTGTAAAAAGGAGACAGACAACAATAATGCAGTTAGTAGAGAAACTGCAATTTTTATATTTCAGAAATATTTATTGAGATTTATACTATCTCAGCTAGGAAAGCAAACAGAAATTATGATCCCTTTGTGCACCCCCAATGTATTTGGAAAGGATCTAAAGGAAGGCAGACAGTGAAGACAGTAAACAGGATAAAACAAGATAATCCAAAATCTTATTTCACTTGGCAAGTAACAAATCCCAATAGGCAGGATCTTTTCGCTGACAAAACTTCCCAACAAAAGCTACAGTACAATGAAACTACAAATTGGGGTTTTCAAGAGGAAACAGAGCAGATGTGTCAACTGAGTTGTCATAAAAGAAAGTATGTGAGAACCACAACCATAATTCAGGAGCTCCAGGTATTAGCACAGCATTCCCACCAGCCTTAGTGCAGAAAGCCTCACCCTACATGCTCTTCCTACAAGCATCCCTCAAACCAGTAGCACTCATACATCAGCAAAATCAAATGGAGCTCTAGACACAGCTTTCAGAGTTTTACACCCAAGACGATTTATAAACACAGATACTTAAAAAAATAATTTTTATATATATGTATCATATGAAGTATTCAGATCTGACTAGGTTATAAATTTGAATTAAGATTGTAAGATTAAGTTAGATTAACCACAACATATTTTATGCAAATATGCTTATTTTAAAATAGGTTGGACATTTCACCATGTTAACGACTGATTTGATGACCTTACAGGTCTTTTCCTACATCAATGCTTGCTTCTGTGATCCCATGTGCCATTTCCCAGTCAAGTTCAGCAAGAGCTGGTGTTTTCTAACTCTATTTCACCACAAATGACAGAGACAAATGGTCACATTACCTCGAGAGTTCCTTTGGCAGAGTAAGCTGCGTACGAGTACAGGAGGTCTTGGCTGAGAAGTGTTTTGGGGTCTCTGCTGCACTGTTGACCACTGGGATAAAAGCATTCACCACTGCTTTTCAGAGTTACTGTGTTTGAAGAAGAGCCTGGCAGGTCAAGTAGAACAGAGTAATTCACCAGCCGGACGTCTTCCAGGCCTCGGGAACGCCACTGAACCAGAATTTTCATTGCAATGTCTACATCATCTTCCCTAGGGAACTGTAACAAATCCCTGGAAAAAACAAAAAACAAAACAAAACAACACACAAGTAAACACAGGTTTAGTTTCTTTCCCACCAAAACATTTGTACCTTAGCAGGCATCAGCACATAATTTTATTCATAATCTATCATCAAATGTGCAAAAAAAACCCCAACCACCCTTCATTCCTTTGCAAATAATTTCTTACCAATTACGAGACAAAAGCAACTGCTTTTTGAGAAATAAAATTTAAAAAAATATAGGAAAAACATTCAATTGAAATAAAGGATCCTACAGAAATCATCACGTAGCTGTTTTGAATTTCATGTATCTGGTACTGATCAGATTTCTGACAGAGCATGAATTTACCAATCTTTAAATAGGAAGTACACAATCTGAAGTCACTGAAATTTCAGGGAGGGCACGATAATGAAAATTAGTTGTAATTATATGTTTGGCTTTAATTCAACAAGTAAAGAAAATTTACTAAGCAGAATGGAGCTGTTCCCCCAAATATTGTGTTCACTGTCAGGATGTCCTCCTGAGATTCCCTATCTGCACTACAGGATTACCTGAGTGACCAGCCTGGCAAGCACAGAGACAAACCTGTAAATTATCTACTGACAGGTCAGCTGAGAATTCAGACAGGTTGGTCTGGGCTTGTATCACCGGGTTTGCATCAGGGTTCAACACTGGCTGCCAGATGGGCCACAGGATGAGGGCACCAAAGGACCACCCTCCTCCCCAGCAAATGCCAAAAGACTCGAGATGTTGAAACTATTCTCATGATAACTTTAGAGGACAGGTATGCTGAAGGGACAGCAAAGATTTTCCCTACTTATGTAGGCAAGCAATCATGTAAGCAAAGCAGGACAGCAAAATAATGCATTATTATTCAAATAAAAAGCATGATCCAAACACAGCACAAAAAGCTTATGGAATATTTACTGAATTTTGTGAGGATGGGTTTTTGTGTGTGTGTGTGTGTGTTTTTATGAAGCTCTCAGGACTGAGAAAGAAGATTAAGGATCTCAGAGGTATTGATTTCCAGGCACAGAGATACTGACACTGCTGGAAACTCTTGTCCTCAACCATCTCCTCACAAAAAGGCCAATTAAATTTAGCTGCTTTGAGGTCTTAGTTGAACGTCAAAAAATACCCTGGCTGTCTTGCACACATCAACAAATGGGTGAATAATGTACAGCCTTTTTAAGCAAGCAATAGGTATTTGAGAACCCCACCAGTGCTGTGGTACCCCTGTGATGCTGCATGTGAGATACTCCTGGCCAGAAGTACCGGCACTACTTCCAGAAGGGTCTGCAGTAACCCCAGGGAGAACCCCACCAAGAAAAGCTTATGACAGAAGTCAAGCACAAGGACTCCCTTCTTCACCTCAACAAGACTATCTTGTGGTTGAACAGACCTTTAAAAAAAATCAAGATTTACTGCCTAGATAACATAAAAGCCTTAAAAAAAAGGCAGACAGGGAAGTTATGACACCTATTACACCTAGAAAGGGCTCCAGAATGGTATATTACATTCAAACCTCTAATGTCCATCATCACACTACATAGGTAAAATAGTTACTCCAACATCCAAAGGTATTTTTAAAAAATATACATATATTTTTATAAATAACTTATTATTTTAAATAAATATATATTTGTTCAAAGTAACATGTTGTATCCCAGGCCTTATTGTATATGCATAACCCAGCTGGAGTAAAGTTTAAAATCTTTACAAGAACAGTGGACTGAAGTTGAAGACTTCAGGGATCCTGTCAGGAAGAATAACTGTCTTACAGATTTAATCATTTTAAATTATCTAAAATAAGTCTTCAAGCAGTCTACACCAAATAGATGAGTTAATCCAATCTGCAGTATATTGCAAGTTTCCAATTTCATCTCCTGAACCTGTTAATGTAATGACATAAACTTGGGCAGTGCAGAAATACAGAAAGTTGTTTGATTAACACAATCATTAACAGAATATCTGCATTTCCCTCAGGTGATAGAGACAATGATAGAATTAATCTCTAAAGAAACTTATCCTAGGCCATAGGGTTATGGCACATTGCAACAAGAAGTACTGAGCTGCAATAAAAGGAATTAAGCATTAAGAGAGGAAGATACAGTAAGCAAATTGCTCCCTTAGTAATAGAAGAAAAGTTACTTTCCTCTTCATAATTAAATAAGAAAGTCTTTGAAACTTTTGTGACAACATGTCTGATTAAGTTACAGAAATGAGCACACTCACTATTTACTCCATAATGTCTTTAAAGCATGTTAAAATCAAATTGCAAATTATAAGCACACATTATATTACAATAAATCAGCACATATTAGAATACCTTAATAAATCTTATGAACAGCACCAGAACAATTTTTGTTCCATATTTATTATAATCCTTAACTTGCCTTTGATGCTGACTGCATGAATTTAAAGTCAGAGGTAATTTAACCCACCATTTTTTCACATATCAGTTGTGTACCACATATAACATGCAAAACCAGCATTTCTTAAACCCAGCCAAATTCGGAAAAGTGCAAAGTTTGGCAGTTCAGCCTGGAAAAATCCCAACACTTCACACGCACTTCTCTACAAATTCTCAATTAACTTACTTCCTAAAACTTCCAGGGCCTAGAGACTCACAGTAGTAAGATTTAAGCAGTGGAGGGAAGGAGGCCCTTGGGATGAGGATGTTTCTCAGCTCTGCAGGCAGCTGCACGCTCAGTAGGAATCAATAGCAATGCAATTGCCAATTTCCACTTACAATACTGCCTTTAATAACTTCAGCCAAATTTTGGATTCCCTTGCTCACATTTAAAAAGCTACTTTATTCAGGTATTTTTTCAGGTTCATTCAATGGGAATAACCACAAAGTTAATGGGCACATCTCAGTTGCTGTAAATCTACATAATTTAGTGAAATGGAGCCACCACAGACTTGATTTGGTCTCAAGTTAGAATCAACACTAATAAATACAAGAATAACAGTCTGAATACTAACATACCTTTATAAGATGCTCTCAAAGAGATTTCCAAAAATTATTGGCCCTTACTTTCTAATACAGATCAGATATTGAACTAATGTACATCAGAACAGGATATAAATTTGTTTTATGAGCATTCTGCTCCATCTCCAATATGTTCAGTTCCTGAACTGAAAAACAGATAAAACTGAACTTTAAACTCAGAAAGCACACCCTACTTCAAATGAATAAGGTAAAGTTTTCCCACTCTGATATGACAAGATCAAAAAAAATGTTTATGAAGACACATGATTAGAATTTTTGTGTAAAAATGAATTCTCAGTTGTACTTTACAGCCTGGTCAGTTAAATGTCCTGCCCAGTGAAGAGGAGGAGACCACTGCTGTTGAAGATTCAAAGTCCTAAAGGTAGGAAAACAACCTGAACCAAGACCAAGATACACATGAAATAATGTCATGTGTTCTGCAGCCTCTGTAGCTTCAAAAGGTCCTTCCTTAACCGACGATTATAAAAGATAAATGAACACGCACACAAAATACACAAATTTCACTTTCAATTTGGTAACCATGGGGAACATGGACCTGCCATGGCTTAATGGAAAGTCCTTTGCTACAACAGCACTTTTTGACACAGCTTGCTAAAGGTGAGAACAAGGTACTGCAAATAAGCTCTCTGCTCATTGCTGGTGATGTACTGGGACACTGCAAACACCACTCAAGAGATACTGAAAAATTACAACAGGTCACTCTAACAGCCTAAAAATAGAATAATTTAACTGTATGACATAATTACTTCTCCGATAATCCTATTAAATTGCTGTAAACCCCCACAAAACAAATCTAAACAATTCTATAGATTCAATCTTAACAATCTACAGCGACAAAACTTCCCCTCAAATATGAAGGACTTCAAGTGTGGTTTGTTTGTAGGGTTTGGTTTTTTTGTTACAGATTTAATGTCTGCACTGAAATGAGCATGGGGAAAGGACATACACTTCATGGCCTATTAAAAAATCTTCTGAATTACACTTTTTCAGAGTTAGAAGTCTATCTAAGTGCCTTATTCCCAAATTCTGACTGTAAATTTTTACTATTTATTTTCTTCCAGTTCATTGAAATTGCTGACAAAGCAATTTTTGGAATTTCAGATAGGAACTACAAACAAATGTGGTTTGGGAATTTTTACTGGCTGATTTTTCAGCTGAGTAGTTGTTTTCAAATTTTGTGAGCCGCAATGAATTCACATATTTTGTAAAGCTACACCAGATCACAGTGTTATCTTGTCTAATATGATGTTCCCAACAGCAGCTGGTAGCAGGCAATCACAAAAGAACGCAAGAAACGCATCATATGGGGTTATTATATTTATAGCCTCCCATGCATATGTCTTTTTTCCTACCCACAAACTTCGTTCAGGCCGAGTTTTAAAAATGTTTACATATGCTGAGGACTTCAGAACTCGTTTCAGTCCATTAAGAGCCGAGCCGTGGCAGTTCCAGCGGCGCTGGTTGAGCGCACAGCACCCGCACAGACCAACTGCTCAGCACATGGCCCCGTGTTTTCCACAGCTGCAGGAGGAGGGAGTATTTATCTGTATCCATCACATACAGTGTGCACACACAGGAAAACTAAATGCGTTCAGGAAATACCACCTGCCCAAGCCACATCTGCTTAAATTTTAATTACATGCTCCCATTAATTAGGGCACTCAACTGGCTGGTTTCCAACCTGCCCGATAGGATTTCCCGTGGTCTGAGCTGATGGCCACAAATTCACTGCTCCCAAAAATAAAATAAAATAAAATTAAAAAAAAAAAAAATCCATGTCCATGAGAAGATAAATATCAAGAGTGTAAAATATGTGAGAAAACATTCTCATGGTGTGAACAGTTGAGTACATGGGGCTTGGTGCAGGACCGAATCTTGAACCACCTCAGGCTCCTCAGGTTGCATTGCAAGGTCACCAGCATCTGCTGCAGAAAGCAGATCCATGGCATGTCCTCTGTCACATCTACCATCAGTCTCCATACATTCTGGATATT